AAAAACCCTAAGCCTTTATCCTTTCCAACTTTGCTCGAACAGCCAACAACAACGCATAAAACCATCCCTTCTTTCTCACATGAACTCTTCTTTGGATACGATTTGTTTACGCTTGAGGGACACCAAGATGGCGGATAGTAACCGTTGCTAAGCTATTGGTCACGTGGGTGAAACCCAAGAATAGGTGGACAGTGACATGCAGCCATGATTTGCCGTGTACTTTTTTGATATTGGACAACCATGTTATGATCAATTGACACCTGTCAAAACAAGGTATCCGCTGACCAGTATCACGAGACCATATCGCGGGCTCAAGTTTACAGCTCATCGAGGTCACGTGTTTTTTGAAGTTGACCGCTGACCAAGTACTTGTTTTTCGATTGGATCGCGGGCTCATGCCAGCTTAACTTGTTGAAAACAGGGTGGGATTGTTCGGAAGCCGGTTGACGTTAAGCCAGGATTAAAAGTTAACCGAATTATAACTTTCTGTTCCATACAAATTTTTTTTGCTGCTTTGTTTTATGTATATGGTGATTATTAAAACTCAAAACAGAAGGCCAAACAATATACAGAAAACCTCCCTGCAAAGTTACATGAAATCAAAATTCTACCTTTTCCTGGGTTTGCCTAATCGGGCTCTGAACAATCCGGCCCAGGGGCTACGCTTTTTGGCTGGCCTAAATCTATATATTAAGACTACGTGTCGTCCAATTCGGTCTGTAATCATACTCGTGATAAACAAATCGGACTCCCGCTTCGCAGTCGTCCAATTTTGTTATCACTCTTATGATAACAGACAGAATTGGACTCCACTCAGTCCTGTTACCATTACTTGTTATACATGTATAGACACGAGTGTTTTACTGGAAAATATACCACTCGTAAAATTCATACGAAACCACATCCGGGACTCGAGTGGCGTATTTTCCATATCCTCACTAGTGAAGATATCGATGATTTCACTGATATCAAGTTTGTCTCTTAAATTGTACTTAAATTCGTTGGTGTATCATTGAAACATCCTCGGGTCTTCCTCGAGAGTCTTCGGCAATCTGCGGAAATCTTCGGCAATCTTCGGAAATTTTCGGAAATGTTCGGCAACGTTCGTGTGACCTTCGGACAAGTTTTATCTTCTCGCCACCGTGTAATATCCTCTATATATTGAGCTGAGGGAAGCTGATTTGTGCGCCCATACGTACAAACCTCTTCAACTTTACCCAGCGGCTCTTTGTTGCAGGTAAAATTTCGAAGCTGAAGTTAATTTCGCATAGACGGGGGAAGTGACAGTTGGGGGAAGTTGGTTTGTGCACCCAGGCATGAACGTCTATAAATTTCTCAGCATGTAAAATCGCGAAGATATATATAGTTTCGCAAAGCCGGGAATTTTATGAACGCTTGTATATTAGGCGGAAGCTTATTTGTGCACCCAAGCGTACAGAGATCTATAGATTTTCCAGCGTTTTTAGAACCACATTTCTCCTTTCGCGAACCAGCTAGATTGTTCATTGCACTACTGTATATTTCCGGTCAACTGACATCCGCTTGTACTAACACCCGCTTATTACAGGCCGTTTTGTTCGTGCCGAAGAATAGCTCATACATTTCCTCTAACATCAGCCAGCTAAATACGGATACTGGTTAAGAAGGACAATAGACTCTTTCCTGTTACCTGAGTGAGGCACTGTCTTACAAGGTTGCACTCACTGCTCACGGACATTGGACACTTCCGCAGTTTCGCATTTTTTTATTTGTGACGATTGTGTGTGTTAATTTTACCCTGTTGGAAAATGAAAGCTTTCTACAGTTTAATACTACTTTATTTCAGTCATAGACTATTTGCTAAATGATCACTTTGTTTTTTTTTGTATTAAAGAAGGAAATATATGTCTCAGTGCGAAGCATCTGATTATTCAAACGCCCGTAAGGTTTCTTCAGTTTAAAAAAAAATTCAGTTAAGGTTACACAATACCTTGAGAGTTCCACTTTTGTCGAATTTTTCTTTTTAAGCAAAACAAAAAGCTCACTATAAAATCTGACATTTTTCAGAAAATGAAAGTAAAATCTTAAAACGCGCGCGAGTTATTAAGGGCCCATTAACCGATTTATGCGCGCGCTCGCGCGCGTTGCTAAGGAAGTGAAATTTCACTTCCGGTTACTTACGTCAGCCTGAGCGCAGAAAATAAAAATAACTCAATAACTTCCAAATTCGCTCACATTTTAGATGTTTTTCTTTGTGTTTCACAAATTGCAAAGTAAAAAAAGTACAAGCAAAGACAACAAAAAGAGAAAGACAGAAAAACAAGAGCAATAGAAAGAGAAAAACTAACTCTGTGTGGCTTTGTTTGATC